GTAATACTAAAATGTATGTCTCACATTAATAAACATAAACACCTTGGCAAAGGGAAAGTGGATCGACCTAGGAACTCATGGTTTTACTTGCCCTGTTCACATCCCATCTTCTTATAATCCGGCAAATATGCTATTTTTAGAGTTTCCGTTATTAATCTAGTTTTTTAAAACAACTTATTTCTAAATAGCACTTTAGAAAAATTAAAGTATTACAAATAAGGGTTGCAACCAACTTGGTGGTTTAAAACATGACAAAAATCATTCAACTTGAAATAGCCATAGTATAGAAAAGCTGCTCTAAAATTCTTATAGGTTTTCCAACTATTGGCATGACCTATTCAACATTTTTAAACTGAAAAATAAATACCTATGTGAAATATTGATTTAAAAAAACGTAAAACAAAATTTACCTTGCAATCCAAAATCAGAAATGGAGGGATCTCCTTGCCAGTGTTTGTACAAATAGTGTGCTATCCCCTAAAGACACATACTAATTTTAATTTACAAATGAACATGCAGAGAATTAAATTAGACAACTGATTGTCAACAACCTAAAGTACTAAAAAATGGACCAATAACACACCTCACAAAGTGAGATAGGAAAAATACCCCACTTCATTAAAATATTCACAAATATAGTGCAAACTAACCAGTCTGAAAGAAGTTATTTTCAGTATTCCAGTGTCTAATAAATAATTATAATTCATTTAAAGCTACTAAGTGGAATGTTGGAATATAGGTTGAAAATATTGAGCTTATATAGCTTAGACTATCACATTTAAAACATTGTACACTGGCTATATTTTTAATAACATGATGGTCACCATTCCATTATGAATACAAACCTTTTTTAGTCACATAAGGGAATGTTGCTTTTATTTATCTGCTCTAAGCACAAGGAAGGTTCAATCTCTGTTGACATTAGAAATTAACGGAATTGAATTTAATCTCTACTTTGCAATCCTCCATTGTGCAAAACAATTAACCTGCTACCCAGGTGACTGTGAAAGCTGACTGATTCAAAAATTACGTTAAAATAGCTAGAAACACTGATCGAAGCCATTTCATTGGGTTTATTTTTGCATTTAAATAAATCCCCAGCAATATAATCAACTATAAAATGGCAGCATATACTATTATGTGGCAGAAAATAGTAAGGCATAAATTAGAATAAGAAAAATGTATCTATCTTTACACCTGTGGCATAGACACCTACATTTCCAACACTTCCCCATCTATATTTATTACTCTGTACTTTTCTGGATTTAATATTTTTCTTAATGTGCTGTGTTCACCAACTACTAGTCCAAAACTGGACAGAAACTACAGAAATGGAGTGTGTTACATAACACGTTTACCATGGTACATATGAGTAAAGGGTGGCAGTAGGGCATTTGATGGGAGACAGTTTTTTTTATTCTGGCTCTGCTTCTTAGTTATGTGACCTTAATTATGTCACAACCTTTTGGGGCCTCAGTTTCCTGAGGATGGATGGGGAAGGGGAGTGTTGTTAGGAGACCAGCAAGATTATCTCTAGGGTCTCTGCTAGTATAAAATTCTGTAATAAATAGGCACAGAAGAGTACTAGGAGTAGGGGGTCAGGATTTCAAATTACAACCAACCCCCCAGCCAGCTTCTAAAATGTTTATTTAAAAATCTTACTTCTGCCGAAACCGGTTTGGCTCAGTGGTAGAGCGTCAGTCTGCGGACTGAAAGGTCCCAGGTTTGATTCCGGTCAAGGGCATGTACATTGGTTGCGGGCACATCCCTGGTATGGGGTGTGCAAGAGGCAGCTGGTCGATGATGTTTCTCTCTCATCGATGTTTCTAGCTCTCTATCTCTCTCCCTTCCTCTCTGTAAAAAATCAATAAAATATATATTTTTTTAAAAATCTTTTTTTAAAAAAATATATATTTTTTTAAAAATTCACTTTACATTTTAGTTTGCTTTCTAGTTAACATGATTTTAATTACTGTCATAGAGAAGAGTTCCCCATCCTTCAGAGTTTTCTTTTTTTTAAATTAAATTATTATCTTTGTATATATACCATTTCCCCCTCTTCCCCTTCAAAGTTTTCTTAATCCAGTCTGGTATAGATGACATCAAATTGTTTTATTATAGAAAACAAGTATTTTCTCCCTCACTAGCTGTTCCACAGATAAAAGGACTTTTCCTTTTAAATGAATATTAGGAAGCATAAAATAAAAGGATGTTAAAGGATATTGCTGGCATATATTTTATCAACTATTGTATGTCTGAGACATATTTTTAATTAAATCCAATAAATAATGTAGATGAATATGAAAAACCTCTTACAAAATTTGACTTATGGTTTGTTAAACTAACTCATTCCATTTAAACTATACCTTGCACAGAACATAAATCCTGAATGCAAAGTTTGAACTAAATGAAATGTTTTTTTCATAAGGGCCAAATCACATCACTTAAAAGAAACATAAATGTTATGGTTTATGCAATATTAAAGGGTTAGGTATACATACAAAATATATACATAGACATACACATAAATGAAATCCTCTAACTTCAAAGTTTTCAAAACCAACTTTTCAGGTATAAGATTTTTAATAAACCAAAGGGAGATCTTATATTTATTAGAGCTTTTGCTGTAATTTGATATTATTTGGTATTTTTTGTGTGCTTTAACTAAAATCATACTAGAGTTAGATGCCAATAAATGTACAATTTGCTGCATTAAATACAGTCTCCTAAGTCAAGTGGATATTTCTGCCATAAAAGTAACTGACCTTCAGCAATGGCTAAGATCTCTCTCCCTGGTTAAGTATAATGCTCTTTTCCTTTTATACCTAAACTTTGCTTTCCTTACTATGTTACAAATCTTTACACTTCATTTATTTTGGCTAGTTTTTAATTCATTTATCTGACATCTCTTAGTTAAATTAGAAGGGATACCTAAAATATTGTCTTTGTGATATATACATATACACACCTTATATACACACATACATACACACACACACACACACACACACACACACACACACAAATCAATAAATCTCTATCAACTTTTAGCTTTATCCTGGACTTTGGCAATTTCGTAGATACTAGTTCAGATTCTAGTTTTCCATTTTAATATGTGATGAAAAATGTTACAGACCACCAAATTCAAATAAGCATCTAATTGTCTTTATATAGATTACAATAGAAAATCCAATGAAGAACAAAACAAACAAAAAAACCTCTTATAATTAAAAAAAAAAAAAAGGAGGGGAACAATTATAGGTATGAAAAGAATAAAAGGCATTTTTCCAGTTATTTTATTTATCAAAATCTATTATAATTTTAATTGGTAGAGGTAAATTTTAAACTTTGTTAATTATGAGAATACTTGCTTTCTATAAATTCAGTATATTTTTTCTTTCACAAAAATAAAATTAAAATGTCTAAATATACAAAGCACTAATAGTTCTGATGTATTTTGTGGAAAGATAACACATGCAGTTTCAAGTCACAATATACTGATTTTCAAAAACCAACATATTCTCTTCTATTTAATTAAGCATTAGAGCCTGAGACCCAGAAGAGGTCATAATGAAATTTTAACCAACCAAATCAGATTTTTTAAACCAATAATGCGTTTTTGTAGCATATTTACCAAATGCTACTTTACATACATTCAACATTTAGCTTACTGGCATGATTTCAAAATTTCATAAAAATGAGAAACTTTTGTAGCTATATGATTAGAATGTACACAAATTGCATTACATCAAACACAAAGGCAGTGTGGTCCTTGTAGGAGAAATCAAGTCAGTACCCTCTCGTAGAAATGTTCTATAAAAATATGTCACATTGAAGTGTCAGTGTTTTCAGCCAATTATCTGTCCCTGTTGTATTTCCTTGGAGTATATGATATATCAGGACTTCAGGTTTCTTAATCCAAAATATCTGACTGAATTTAGGTACATCTAGAAAGCAGCTGAAAGGGTTTCTCCAAGAGTCTGACATCACAGAAAGTACTTGAGAAATCCCTCTCTTTACCTGAAGACGTACTTGTTCTACTTCAGTCATAAGCTCACAAAGAAAGAAAACCAATCAAAGCTTCCCCTCACACACAAAATCCCATAAAAGCTAAACAAAGACCAGCCCTCCCTCCACAAAACCCCAGCACCAAAGTGTCAGTCATTCCTGGCAAAAAGAACATGCCCCTTGATTCTCTGATTTGTTAGTTGTTCAAACCTGAAGGACAGAAATATCCTTATGTCCTTGTGGGGAGCAGGGAAGACATGTTAATAATGACTACTGAGCCATTGAGAAAGTGCATTATCAATTATTACACAATCAACTGCCCTCTAATGGAAGTGGTCACACTTGATTCAAATGCCTCGATAATGAAACATTCGTATTCTCAAGATAAAGGAGATGGGAGAAAAAGAGACACTCATTTTAATAAAAAAGTGCAGAGTCTACCACTTTTCCCCATGCTTCTCAAGAAAATGATTGCACAGACTCAGAGAAGTCCAAAGTCATAGCAGAATCTCTGAGGCACTCCTGGTTAAGAGAGAGAAAAAAATATGACCCAGTGTTCATAGTTTATAGATTATGAGAACAAACCCGTTTTGTGTGTGTGTGTTTTTAAAAGAAAGCCAAAGAGTCATTTCATAGGGATCATATACACCATTTCCTCTAGCATATCCTCAGTCTCACAGTGTTGAAATGGGACCGATCAGCCTACGACGGATTGCACATCACCCAAGGAGAAAGGAGGGCATGGAAAATGCAAACATTTTATACTGCTTCACAAACACATTCACAAGGAATAGGTGAAGAGAAAATATAGGAAGGAGGAGAAAGAAAACATTATTGCTGTTTCCATACAAAATACAGTATGAACATACCTAAACTAAATCAACTCTGATTACGATGACCAATATTTTCACAACGTGGGATGAAGTTGCTTCTTGCACAATGAAATGTTCAGTTTAAAAGGTAAGCAGAAAGATGGAGAGAGGATGTCAAATCTACACCTGGGATATTAGCTGCATATTGAAACTTGGGGATCGAGACTGCTTGGTTAAGGGGGCGCCTGGGCTGAGGAGCTCTTTACCTTCTCCAGCTTGACCTAGCCGGTCTTCCTGCAGACTGATAGTCGAGTATCGATTAGCATTGCTAGTTGCTAAATTAGTAACTCCCTCAGTGCCAACCCCAAAGCTGGTACTTGCTTGACTGCCGTTTACATAGTCAAATGATTTACTTGAGGAAGCACTGGCTGTCCGGATTAGACTTACGCTATTGGTTTTTGGCACCACCTGGCCAGCAGGCAGACTCAGGTGTTTCTTCATCGGTGTCAGCTCAATCGAATCTGCACTAAGATCAGGAGGTTGCTGTACATACTGCCTGCGAACTACTGAATCTCGGGGGCTTTCACTGGATTTGATGGGAGAAGCGGTTTCTTTTTCCTTGACTGAACGCCCAGTTGCTACTTTCCTTAAGCTTCCCCTCTGAGAAGAGGAGGATGGTTTGGTCCCAACTGGCTGATTGCTGAGGGAAGCCCCTGATGAAAATCCTTCATCTGCATCATTTAGGTTTACCGACTCCTCTTCTCCATTTACCCCCTCAGCGCCTAAAAAACAAATCAGAAAGACTCAGCAATAGCCAAATTAAATAAGAAGTAGCTATGAATAACAACTCGACTGACTTTATCTCTTGGGTAATGTTTGATATAGGTTGGCAATGGTTTTGTTATCAACACTTCCCCTAAATAATTTAAGGGAAGAAACCTTAATCTACACAGAATTCTAATGTTATTCAGTTTATAATATTTAGCTTTAATAGTCTAACTTTTGTAAAATCAGAATTTAGGATTATAAAACAATTTTAGGTAAAAAACAACATTTTGTTATCATAAGTCTTTATTATACATCCTTATCAATTTGAGGTGATCACATCTATTTAAATAAATAAAATTTTTCCTATCTTCCTTAACGCACCATAAATAGACCCCTTTCTAATTCTAGTCAACCAGAATAATGTCAAAAATATTTATCTTTAAAAAGCCAAACCCTTTTTAGCTACAATAAAAATGTATATTTCTTCAACAGTAATGAGCTCACAGTTCACTTCTTCTAAATTGCTTAACCTTTATGATGGAAGTAGTAAATTTTCTAATTCTAAGAAAAACTTTACATTGCTCAAATTGTATTCCTTACTGTATTTTGTCTTATGGACACATTTAATCACTGGTTTCCATATTATCTCGATCAATTAATGTGAAGAAAATACTTGATTATCAGAGGGCAAGCTAGGGAACCAGCAGGAATATTTTAAAAGGATTTTTATTTACTATATTATGTATTTCTGTACAATTTTAAATTTTTAGTTTGAGACGTATATGTTCATAATCACAAAATACTATAATGCCCGATTATGTTTCATGCAGAAACTGCAGTTAACAAAAGAATCCTTTTCTTTGGATTTTGTAAGAAGGGAAGAAACATAAAAATTTAGCTTGGGGTTTCCAGAAAGCCCACTGTCTTACTAAAAGTATGAAAAAACATTCTCTTAGAAAATAATACACTTGCTTCTTTAAAAATTGATAATGGCTTGCTACATCAGTAAGTATGTTTACCAGATTTTGAGAACTTTAACCTGAATCTACATGCAGATAGCAACATTATCGTTAAGGTAAAATGTTAGGAAGGAAATCTAGACCAATATTACTTTGTGATAGGGTTACCTAAGTAAACTATATATGAAGCATTTAAACACAATCTTTATTTAACATAGTACCTGAAAAAATATTTTCTTAGTTATATTTTCTCATAGGGATTAGTTATTTCCTTCCTTCAAAAGAATGAAATAAGCTATCCTTAAAGCATAAAGCACCTTGTTATTTTTATCCAGCAGTTTAATAATCTTTAATCATCATGCAAAGCCATATGAAAATGCAGCTGACACCACTTCTCTCAACCCCTTGTTCAAAAGAATAGGATATAATGTACCTCAAATAAAAAACTTTAAATTATATGCCCATGATATCATCTTAGCAATTTCCTTCAATTAGTATAAACAACTCCAAAATGCCCAAGAAGAATTACTGGTTTAGAATTGATATCAGTAATATAAAACCAGGAGTGAACAGAAATGTATTATTTGAGATATATATATATATATATATATACACACACACACACACACATATATACACACACACACACACACATATATACATACATATATATATATATATATATATAAAACTAGGAAAGGAGATTGAGAGACTTAGTTCTAGCTTCTGAATCTTGCCACATGCAGATCTGGTGCCCAAGCAATATGGCCATAAAGAGATGAAGATAACGTAAAAGCCACCATGCAAGAGAACCTACTGATGTTTTATATACTAAAAATACTGTTTCAGTATAGTGGAACACTGACTATGCTTTAATCACAGGCATCCTCAATTTAGTAATAATTTTAAATCCAGCTTTAAAAATCACAAAACATTACCTGACAATCATAATAAAGGTAAGTAATGGGCTCACAGTCTCAATTTCATCAACATACAATAAATACAGTTTTAATTGTAAAACTATTTAAAACCACATACCAAAAAAAAGCTGTTTTTCTGTTTTTGTTTTTTAAAGGTCAATTACCAATGTTTATCCAAAAGCTCCAGCAGACTTCAGGATTACCAGAATTTTACATAGGTCCTGGTAATTTCCTTCCTTCAGTTTTTAAAAAAATCTGGAACAAAAGGTAACTGTGTGGTGCTCTCCCTCTCCTGGGCTCGCCTGCATCTTTCCATTCCCTCTTCTTTGTCCCCAGTCCCATTACCTTTACCCTTCTCTCTCCTAAGCTCCTAGGGCCTTTTCTTTCACCTTTGTAGCTTATTTCCTGAGCCCATTTCTTCTACTGCTCATTTCTTCCACCTCTGTGATTCTCTAAATAACCTTTCATATTATATACGTACACATGTACATATATAAAGTAACTATGCCTTCGAACATATTTCCTTTCTAATATTCTCCCTGGGTTATAACAATACTATTGATGATCCAAAGAAGAAACAAGCAAAAAAGAATTTTTTAACCAAAAAGGATTTTTAACGAACTTTTCCATTATGTCTGCCTTTCCTTATAAATTTAGCTTCTACTAATACTGATTTAAAACTACAATTTAATCTAGATTAAAAGACAAAATAACTTTTGAGAAATTTCAAACACACTGAAATTTCAGACTCAATGAGAATGGCTATACTCCAGCCTCACAAACTGAAATTTTCTACTAGTGATACTACTATTTTTGGTTCCTTTTTCAAAGAGTCTGATCAATTAGACACTTTCTAGAATATTATCAACCTTATCCCACACTTTCTAGAATATTATCAAGTGTTAACATAGTCCAACTACATTTAGCACAAATACTCCAACCCTCTAACAATGGTAGGAGATGCACACCAAGTGGCTCCTTTAGTCATCTAGAATGTTAAGAAACCTGACACCTATATAATGTTAGTAACCAATGTCATCCCAATAAACTCAATTAAAAAAGGAAAACAAAAATGAATGTTAAGAAATAGAATGTTGTCCCATTTAAATCAACTTTGGATTCAACATCTATTCACATATTTATTATTATGCCTTTATACAACGATAAAAGATTCAGAAAAAAAGGAAAAGTGAAGGCTGCATTTCTCACAGGATCTCTGTAAAACAGCACCAATTCTTTGGGTCCCTAGATCATGCACATGCAACACCCGTCAAGAAAGTAAGGTTAATCTGGGCAAATGGACAGAGGGTAGATTTAAATTCTTACTGAGCATGCTCAAATTTTTAATGCACCAAAGAGCAAGAGACTTCCTTAAGGTGGAAATAACTGCTTCATGTATGTTTGGTCTTTAAAATAAGTAAAAATATGTAACCTATTTTAAAACTACTTGCTACGTTTCATAAATTAAATCAATGTAAAGGCTCCACAGTAGCAATTATTAAATAATTAAAAAATGGTTAGGCTAACAGTTCCCTCATTCACAAAGCCAACTCCTATGGCATCACAGGAAAGCAGCAAATAAACACTTTCCTCTCAGGGGAAAGTGTTCTTTCCCAGGTGGTGGTGGTGGTGGTGGTGGTGGTGGTGCAATGGGATTTTTGGAAGATGGGGGATGATTCTCATTTTGAGATACCTACATTGTAGAAACAACATCTACAGGATACCTGACCTCTAAATAATACATTTTAACTCTATTTTAGCGGTACATAAGATAATCATTATTTACAACAAATGATAAAATGTAGCATGCACCAGTGAAGGACATTAATAGAGGAAAGATGTTAGTAGTTCACTGGTTAGACCCAGGCAACTTGACCTGAAAATTATAAAAAGCCAATCAATACCAGTTTACTCTATTAAAGATCTAAGAAATTCGTATTAATTGGCTACCCTGGGATTAGAGATAAAATTGCCAGCTCCACTTTAGTCCAATTTCTTAAAGATAATATATTAATGTTTTAAAATTCTCCACACATATTCTTTAAAAAATAAATTATTATATGAATTAAATAAACTCACATTGACTAATAAGGTTCATGTCCATTGTGTGCATTTTCCCTCTCCTAATGTTAGAATAAACATGCTCAGTAATGAAAAATTCCAAGCATTTGCAAACCTTTGAAAATAGGCCTTTGCCTTGTTAGTAGCCATGCCAAGCTGTTCTTGGATTACACAGGGATGCAGATTCCAGGCCAGCACAAATGGTAACTAAAGATTGTACTTGACCTAAAACTAGGTATATAGGGGTTTTGCTTTGCAAGGAGGAGCTAATATACTCTAGGGTAGTGGAAACACATACTAGAATGGAAAAATGTTCTGCTTGGGGTTAGAGAGCCAGGATCCTTCTCCAGAAACTGCCTCACTGACTTCTGTCTCCTCATCTCTGTCCTACCCTCTGTTGTGGCAGCTGCTGAGTTGGGCTCCGGTGAGCCGTGCTCAGGGGTCCTGCGCACCAGCACCTCCCCCTCTTGCACACGTTTGATCCCTACGTCAGTGGAGCCGTGTTGGATCGGGGAGCCAGGAATACTTGAGTCAGCCTCGTTTGAGAAGTCAAAGCCATCTGGGATTCAACATATAACATTTTAGTGCTTTTTGTGCTCCTCTATTCTTTCTGAGCATTTTGACCCAGGCAGATAAGAGAATGTATAAATGGATATGATATAAACACAAACACTAGTTATATAGTTACATGTGTGTGCACAGCATACATACACACACATAAGGCAGCAGATGAACAATGTGAGGTTTGCAAATGAATAGGATAGAAAAATAGGAATCATTAAAATGGCAGTTTATTTCTCTTAGCCAAGACATCTTGACTATTCAAGTATCATATGACTATAAAATACTGCTGTATTCAGCACTTATTAAAAAGGAAAAGCAGATAAAAATTTAAAAAACAATAAACATTCCTTTTATGGATAGCTTGCATTACACCATTAGTTTGGCCAGTTATAATTTCCTCCCACAATGCTCATACATGCACCTTTTCCCCCCAATTTCGTAGGAAGCTTAAAGAAACTATTTCCTATTGTTATTACTAAAAAAAAGATAAAAATTAACTTGATCTTATTTTCTTTTTCAACATTTATAAGGAATTCTAAATAACATCTATTTTATTAAAATAAATACATTAAGTATGTAAACCATTTTAGTACTACTTTTAGAAACTAAACCATTTTACTTTAATTATAGAGTACTATAATATCATGTGCTAATATAGTCTATAGAAACAGTGATAGATTTAACTGAATCCATGAGTGAGCTATAGGGATTTTGTCCTCACCTTCTCTCCTCCATCTATGGCGACGGATGGAAGCTGTTGTAATTGCAGTCCGAGAAATCCTCGGCACTGTCGGAGTGACTTCCACTTTAAGTACTTTCTGGCCTTCTTGTGAAGAATCAGGAGCATCGAATGGTAATGAATTTTTCATTGCATTAGCAACCTAAAATGATAATGTTAAGACCAGACATATTTACGACCTATATACAATTTATACTTAGTCGACACTTATTCACTTCCATAATTTCTGAATATGTATTTAAAATGCATACTTTAAAATAAAGGAAAATTGTTTAGTATTTAAATCCTGACATAAGAAAAATTAGAGTAAGTTTCTGATCTTTTAAGTAGTAAATAACATGCAAAATTAATCTGATTAAAATAACTAGCCTTTTCTCCACTCCTTTGTTTCATAAGAAATTTTCCCAACATGTCTGATATTTTGCCCCAACAATTTTTTTTAACGTATTTTATTGATTTTTTACAGAGCGGAAGGGAGGGATATAGAGTGTTAGAAACATTGATGAGAGAAAAACATCCATCAGCTGCTTCTTGCACACCCCTACTGGGGATGTACTTGCAACCAAGGTACATGCCCTTGATCGGAATCCAACCTGGGACCTTTCTAATCCGCAGGCTGACACTATCCACTGAACCAAACTGTTTTTGGCTGTCCCAACGCTTTCTGCCCTCCATAGAGGAGAGTAAAATATATGGCTCAAGAGTAATTGCCATTGATTGATGTTTCTTTTAGAGAGCCAGGATTCTTCTCCTGCAACAGCCTCACTGACTTCTTTTGATTTTTATTGACTTTTTATTTATTTATTTATTTATTTATTGGTCTGTTTTCATTAATTTTTAGAGAGAGAGACTGGGAATCGAACCTGCAACCTTTTGGTGTACGGGACAATGCTCCAACCAACTGAGCCACCCAGCCAGGGTGAATGTTTACATTTGTCTTTAGGTTAATCATTTACCTTTTGGAGATATATTTATTTTGTGGCAAAGTATAAAATCTTTTCAAATAAACAAAATATTAAATGGCTTTCTTGTTACGCTTGTTGAAAACATTTCCTTTTCACTTTGTGCAAAGCATATTAATTTTGTTTTTCAGATACTTACAGTTTAGCAATTTTGCTTTTTAAAATATGTTTTTCAGAAAGAAGAAGGGAGAGGAAGAGATAGAAACATCAATGATGAGAGAAAATCATTGATTGGCTATCTCCTGCACGCTCCCATTACTGGGGATTGAGCCTGACCAGGAATCAAACCAGGACCTCCTGGTTCATGGGTTGATGCTCAACCACTAAGCCACACCAGCTGGAAGACACTGATGGTTTAGAATTTAGATGTTTAGGTGGTCAAAAAATCATTAACTATTTTTTAGTGATTTGTCATATCATTTAAGTTTAGAAAGTCCTTCCTGCAGAAATTTGAGTATTTATAAACTTTCCTTCCTCTTATCTTAAAGGGCTTCAAAATATTTCAATTCTTTAAACTTATTTGAATTGTATTTTGAAACAAGGTAGGAGGAGAAGGTCTAAACAAATTTTGTTTTCTTTCCAAGTTAACCATCTGCTATTATGGAATAAACCCTTTTCCTCAACGATTTGGATTGCATCAGATTTTGCATACTAATTTCTTATATCCTCGACAGGTACAGGTATGTTTAATAAAAAGTAAATATTTTCACTTACCAACAGTGGTTGAGAAAAGAGTTCTAGCTGAGCTCTATAAATAATGTCATCAAGAACTTCCTGGCCAAGGTCCCACTGTCCATTATACCTAAGGAGAAGCAGATAGTTTACTATCTTTAGCAAATATCTTTAATATTCAACCACAACCTTTTTATTGTTCCAAGTCCTACTATTTTGATTCTTCAACAAGATTTTCACATCAATTTTTTCATTGTTCCATTTCTAAACGATCCCACTTTTGGTTACAAGAACAAAATAAAGATTTCAGATATTAAAGTTTAGAATTGTTTATAGATGTCTCTTCACATAAATTGTTTTTTTTTATCATGTATTGATATTTAGGTTAACCTATTTAATGCATTCATGAAAGCCTGGGTTATAAATTATATGAAGAGACAGTTTTCCATTATGTTCAAGGCAGTGTTATTTATAATAAAAATCTAGAAACTCATTGCTAATACTGATGAGGTAAAAGGACTGTCCTGCCTATAGTTTCTTCTAGGAGTTTTATGGTTTTAGGAAACATATTCAACTCTTTAATCCCATTTTAAGTTGACATTTGTGTAAGGCATAAGAGAGTGGTTCAGTTTCAGCCTTTTGCATCTGGCTGCTCAGTTTTCCCAGCACCATTTACTGAAGAGACTATTCTTTCCCTATTATCTATTTGAACATTGGTAAGAGTATAAGTCTTAAAAGTTCTCATCTAAAGAAGAAAGTTTGTAACTATGTATGGTAATGAATGTTAAGTAAACGTACTGTGGTAGTCATTTCACAATATAAAATGTCTAATCATTATTCTGTAGACCTAAAACTAAAACCTTATATGTGAATTATATATCAATAAAAATTGAATTCAATAATTATATAGTTTTCAAGTTTAAAATGTACATTAATTTTAAAAAGTACTAAGAAGAGTTCATATTAGAAAAACAAGATAATTGGTCCATCATGAAACAAAAGATTTAGTGTTGTGGATAAAGGAAAAAAAAAAAAGAAAATTTCATTTTCCAAACATTAGGAAAAATTCACCCAATTTCAGACCACCTACTTACATGGCATAATAAACGCCGGTGAGAAGTTGCACCATAAATTCGGGATCCAATACTATTCGACCACAGAGTTCTTTCCAGTGTTTTTCATGTTGCCGTGGAAACCCACTCACACAAACCCTAAAAAATGCAGTATTTGTCATGAGTGGTTTCTGGTTTCATTGAATCAAATATTTTGCTTTTACAAATTCATTTATTCAGTTATTTGTTGCTCAAACACTTATTAAATACAGTCACTACTTACCAGTCACTGTCCTGAGCATACGTATATAGTTGTGAACAGGTAAAAATAAAAATAAAACCTGTGCCATCATAAAACATACAACCTAGTGGATTATATTAATAAAAACAACTTTACTCAAATAGCCAGGTCTTTCAAATTCATCCTTCTCTCTCTTTACAAAATAAATGCATAACTTTCTCATATTCCAAATTTTATCAGGATGAATTAGTGAGAGATACAGAAATCTCAAAGCAAATAAGGGACATTTCAAACCACTGATGTCTGCAAAAGACCATTTTTAATCAAAATATCATAAACGATCCTCTATCTTCCATCTCCTTTGAAGATGCTTCCAGAAAATGATGCTTAATAATTATAAAAAATTATAATGTACCGCCCTAACAGGTTTGGCTCTGTGGATAGAGAATCGGCCTGTGGACTGAAAGGTCCCAGGTTTGATTCCAATCAAGGGCATGTACCCAGTGGGAGGCGTGCAGGAGGCAGCTGATCAATGTTTCTTTCTCATCAATGTTTCTAACTTTCTATCCCTCTCCCTTCCTCTCTGAAAAAAAATTTAAAAAAATATATACATTTTAGAAAAATTAAAAAAATGTAATGTACTTATTTTCCTTTAATGAATTAATTTATTGAATAACTATCATGGTGAATTAAGAAAAATATTTTCATTTTTAGTATATCACAGTATCAGGAAATTTTTTCAAATTTTAGTTTACATATACATATTTTTATAGCAGAGACATATAATTAGGTGATCAATAATATACTTTAAAATATAAAATAGCATTATATTAGTAAAAAGTATATGGGTAAAATATAATGAAATTCAATTTTACAAAGAAAAATGAAAAATACAGGTTGGGGCAAAAGTAGGTTTACAGTTGCTCCTATGGAAAATAATAATCTTATCTAATAAAGAGGAAATATGTTAATTGACTCTCATACCATTGCAAAGATGATGGCACCCACAGCCAATGAGGGAATATGCTAATTCACTGCCATACCCTCAAACATGGCAGAGTCCACAGCCACAAGATGGCGCCACCCAGTCCCCTCAGCCCCACCAGGGCACCTGCCTCTGGAGTCCCCCAGTCACCTCAGTCCCCCAGCCGCCCAGAGCCAGTCCAAGGCACAGGCAAGCCTCAGATGGCAGCTACCCAGCCACCCAGGACTGGCCTGAGGCACAGGTAAGCCTCGGATGGCAGATGCCCAGTCGCTCAGAGACACCCGAGGCTCAGGTAACCAGGGCTGCCCAAGGCTTACACTGCTGGCAGTGGCAGCCGCAGAGGTGTGATGGGGCATCGAACTTCCCCTGATCATGAGGTCACCTCCTGCCCCTGAGGGCTCCTGGATTATGAGAAGGGGCAGGCCGGGCTAAGGGACCCCTCCCTCCAGTGCATGAATTTTCATGTTAATAAATAATAGTACAAGAATAAACTGTATTTCACAAACTCACAACTGTAAACCTACTTTTGTCTCACCCTGCATAATGTCAAACTATTAAAGAAAAGCTTGCTCATTTATTCCTCAAATGGGTGATGGTGGGTATCAGATCACTGCATTATTTACATTATATATATTTAAAACACTGACTGGCCTATAAACCATAGACTTTCAGTTTTAAAAGATGGCTTAGCCCTGGCCATTTGGCTCAGTGGATAGAGTGTCGGCCTGTGGACTCAAGGGTCCCAGGTTCAATTCCAGTCAAGGACATGTACCTTGGTTTGTGGGCACATACCCAGTAGGGAGTGAGCAGGAGGCAGCTGATCAATGTTTCTCTCTCATCGATGTTTCTAACTCTTTCTCCCTCTCCCTTCCTCTCTGTAAAAAATCAATAAAAATATATATTTTTTAAAAAGATGGCTCAGTAGTTGAGCATCAACCTATGAACCAGAGATCATCTTTCAATCCAGGTCAGGCATGCCTGAATTGTGGACTTGATCCCTAGTAGGCAACTTGCAGGAGGCAGCCAATCAATAATTCTCATCATTGATGTTTCTATCTCTCCCTTTTTTTAACTCTCTGAAGTTAATAAAAATATATTTAAAAAAAACTGATCCAACCTTTCTTTGTCTTATTATGTCAATATGGGTGAGACTTGTGATCTGTTACTAAAAATAATATCATTTGCTATTATAATATTTAAGATAGAGTGAAAAATTATAAATATTAACTAAAAAAAAACAAAACAGTCATTTATAAGTAAACTAGAGGCCCAGTGCATGAAATTCATATACGGGTAGGGTCCTTAGTGGCTGCTGGCTGCCAGCTGGGGCCTCCCTTCTTCCCAGACCGCCCCCTGGTGGTCATTGCACATCTAACTCCCAGCCAAACTCCTGCCTGTGGGGACAATTTGCATATTAGCCTTTTATTATATAGTACATATAGGATTTATCTGTAGATAGGCAGTAAGTGTTTAAACAGTGTATTCTCTTGACAACAGTATTTAGGTTAGAGACAAGAACTTTATTAGTCATTAATTATGTTATTACAGGTAAATGAAAATAACAAACTTATTTTAAGATCATCTATTAAATCAAACTTACAACTAATCTAGATTGGTTTCCCTCTTTTTGAGTGTGGGTGAGACCTGTGATCTGTTTCTAATCAACAGAACATGGCAAAGGTAATGGGATTTCCATGATTGTGTTGTTTAGAATGTAGTGCAGGTCTCCTTTCACTCTTCTCCTTTGAAGAAGTAAGCTGTCATGTTAAAGGCAGCCTATGTTGAGAGGCCCACAGGGCAAGGAACTAAGACTGGTCCTTGGCAAGGAATTAACAAGAAACTGAAACCCTCAGTACTACAACTACAGACACTAAATTCTGCCAACAAAAGTATATAACTCCTCGTCCGAGCTTCAGATAAGATTGCAAATCCAGACAACATCTTAACTGCAGCTTAGTAAGACCCTAAGCAAAGGACCCAGCTACGTCATGCCTAGACTCCTGACACACTGAAACTACATAATAAACGTGTGCTGTTTTCAGTGCTAAGTTTGTGGTAATTTGTTATTATGCAACAGAAAACTAATATAGCATTTAACCCCTTTGGGAGACTCAGTTTCCTCAAGTAAAAATCAGTTGAGACATGGCTAGGTATCTCAGATGGTTAGAATGTCGTCCCAATACACCAAGGTTGTAGGTTCAATCTCCGGTCAGATAACAGACAAAAAACAACTAATGAATGCATAAATAAGTAGAACAATAATTAGATCTTTCTCTCTTTCCCCTCCTCCCTCCCTCGAAACCCCACTCTTTTTATAAAAATCAATAAATCAATCAATCAATCAATAAATAAATAAGAAAAAAATCATAGAACAGGATGAACTCATAGTTCCCTCTCTAGCTGAAATTCTGTGACTCTAAATGCCCTCCATCTCCAAACTGATTTATATTACTTAAATTTTCTTTCTATAGTAAAGATTTAAATTTCAGCCAAGGTGTGTCCAAATTATTAGAAATTCTGATTTAGTAAAGATTAAAGAACACAAATATAAGTGAGACACATAATTGATACTATTACTAATTTTCTTATACAAAGCAGAGATAATAATTTGTGAAACATATAAAGAAAAGGGTTCACATTCCTTAAGACTTTCTTCACCTATGGGATTATTTATTCAAAGCTCTCAAAGTGATTAGGTCTACCAATAAACCATCCTAAAATTAAGACATTTTTACTTCACTTGATGTTCAGATAAAAAATATTTTTTTGATGCTGAAATATTTCAAGAAGTCAAGATGCTTGAGAGATAAGGATTCCTACAAGAATAAGTCCATAAGTTTTATTTACTGCTTATCTTAAGTTAAAATAGTACCTACCATAAAGAATATGCTCAGTAAATATTTGTCAAATATGAAGGTTAATAATAATTATTATTCTCACCTGGAGCCCATCCGACAAAGAGATTGATAAGATGAAGCAGGCATATACACAATAGCAGAATTATAACACAACATAAGAAAACTCAGGACTTCAAACCTACAAAAAACAAAAAGGAGTGAAAGGATTATAAGCAATCACTTCTACTAGACCCTGTGGTAACGATTTCTTCATTAGATGGTTATAACAATGTCTTAACATTACTTGAGTGATTTCTCAATCAGATTACTATAGTCTCTTCATCAATGTTCTCCATGTCCATTCCTAATATAGATGACTCCCCTATCTACATTAACCCATTGCTCCTACTGACTGCATGATAAAATCCAAACTCATCATGACACACAAGGTCCTTTAAAATCCACCCTCAACCGTCCTCTCTACCCTTACCCTACCTCCACTGCCTACCACATACACTACACCACAATCAATATTCTCACTACTCCATGAATATGCCATAACCTTTCATAACAACTTGCTTTTATACATACTGTTCTTCCTTACTATAGAATATCCTTAGAAAACTCATGCTAAGGATTCAAGTCCCAGCTCAAATTTTTACCTCAGACATAAAGCTGAAGGAAACTATTCCCTTATCTGTGTAGCTCTAATATAGCATTTATCCCACTAAATCATCATTCTCCATCTTTTCTCTGTTTTACCCATTTGGTAATAACTTTAGACCCTGATATATTCATCTCTACCTCTAGTATCCAACACATTGATATATAATAAATATTTATTAAAGGGATAAAGAATGCTTTCCTAATCTTTACAATGTCTAAGAAAGTGGCTCCTAAACCTGGAGCAGATTATATTAATAGTTATTTAAGGACCTTTTGAAAAAATGTATTTCTGAACGTCAACCCAGATAGCCAACAAGTCTTTGAGGCTGGATCCAAAGGAATTTGTACTTCTAAAAAGCTTCCTATAGATGGTGAAATTCTTTGTATCATTTTTACAACATTTTTTGTAAGTCTGAAATTATTTCAAAATGAAAAGCTAAAAATTGAGTTGTAAGTCTGACTCGAAAGCAGTCAAATGTTCAGATCTTTTCTTCTCTATGTTGATTAGTTTATTGAAGATTTCTTTTCTGAAATTTAAGAAAGCTTTCCTCCAGAAAAAGGATATTTCTACCAAGGAACCACCAGGCACAACTGTGGTTTAGGGTGGGGAGTGGAGGGGGAAGACGCCATACTGAAAACAGGAATATTAAGTGAAACAAACCTTACTGGAAATCAAGACTTCAAGCTCTCCTTCCCCACTTGGCCACCAGAATGCTAGCAGCCAGCCCTCTATTTACAGATTAGATTTTTCTCTAGGGAACCTGATCCTAAGAAGAAAGATTTAAAGATATGAACTTAGAAAGTTTCCCAACTGAATAGCTCAGTGAGAAGTTGTGAAGTTCATGGTCACAACTTGAAGTTTTTGGTTAAAGCTTCTCAATTTTGATTCTCCTACTCTTAAATATATGGGAGAGAGAAGACATTTGAGGAATTCCACTAACAGAAAATGAGACCAAAATAAAAAATAGAAAAGTACAATTTAAAAGAAACAGAAAATACAAAAAGAAAAAAAAAACTGAATAAGGCAAATTATCATTAATATTCTCAAAAATATAAAAGATGTTTCAAAAAATCTCCAAACGCCGAAACCATTTTGGCTCAGTGGACAGAGTGTCAGCCTGTGGACTGAAAGGTCCCAGGTTCGATTCCAGTCAAGGGCATGTACCTTGGTTGAGGGCACATCCCCAGTAGGGGTGTGCAGGAGGCAGCTGATCAATGTTTCTCTCTCATCGATGTTTCTAACTCTCTATCCCTCTCTCTCTTCCTCTGTAAAAAAAAAAAATCAATAAAACATATTTTTTTAAAAATCTCCAAACACACCAATTAAACAAAATCAGTATTTTAAAGACCATTCAGAAAGCAAGAAAAACTTTTAGATATACAAAATATAACTGCAGAAATTTAAAAAAAAAAAAGAAAAAAAAAAGAAAAAAAAAAGGACTGACAAATGAAGCTAAGGATATAAATAAAAGAAAGAAAAGCAAAAGAAAAGAGATATGACCAACAAGAGAGAAAGACCACTCCAGGACAATTATTACTGTCCACAGTTTTTACCATTACCGGTTCTGTGCAGTGAATGTTTCCCTCTGAGGATGAAGATCACTATAAACAACCCTGATGAGGTCATGCTGACACAATGCCCCTTCAGTCAAAGCCATGGATCCAATTGTTGAGGGCTAAAAATATAAAGAAAGTATGAGTGTGTTTCTAAAATGAAGTAAAAAATCTGTATCACATGAAGACATTTGTTTCAAAAAAGGACAGTTTCAAACCATTTTTTCTCTTTCAAAACCCATTCCATTTTTCATTGATATATATATTCTATGGCTCTTTTTGAAAATTACATATATATTTAAAAAAAGTTGCTGAAAAGACTAAACATTATAAATATGTACATTTCAATTTATACTCTACAACATGAGCAGTCTTGAGGACTGTATATTCATACTGTGAATTTTATCTAACTTCAGGTAGGTAAGTATTCTCATTAATCCCATTCTACAATGGAGACAATAAGGTGTAGACCACTATAATTATAAAACACAAATAATATTGAAGGCTATGATCAAATGTCTCTTTAGCCGAAACCGGTTTGGCTCAGTGGATAGAACTTCGTTGGCCTGGGGACTAAAAGGTCCCAGGTTCAATTTGGGTCAAGGGCATGTACCTTAGTTGTAGGCACATCCCCAGTAGGGGGTGTGCAAGAGGCAGCTGGTAGATGATTCTCTCTCATCGATGTTTCTAACTCTCTATCCATTTCTCTTCCTCTTTGTAAAAAAATCAATAAAATGTATTAAAAAATGTCTCTGTAATAGTGAGATAATTGACTTCATGTTTCTATAGTTAGAACCATCCATTCATAAATGGTTCACTATCCTCCATTTCATAATGATTCACAGAACTTAATTAAAATTAAGTTACTCAGAAATATTCTATGCTCCAATGAGTCCTGGGCTAAATAGCAGGCATTCTATTTCCAACACAAAACAAAGTCCCAGAGGACATCATTAAGTGGGGGGAAAAAGAGCTATGAGACAATAGGATACTGAGTGTTGATAAAAAAAAAAAAAATGGAATGTAATTTTTAGACTACTGGTAAAGCTTCTTTAAATGTTTTCCTCATGACTTTATGCACTAAAAGCCACCTGAGGTCAGAAGCTTGATTCAGAACACATATCCTTAAAGGGAGGAGGCAGAAGGAATTCAGCTCAATAATAAGCATTGTTCTTACATTTTCCAACCAAATAAATAGATGCAAAAATCAGAAGTGAAAAGTTAGTGAACAGCTGGAATGCATCAACTAGAATTCTTTGAATGGAAATATAATCATTACAGCAGTAAGATTCTTTTAAGTAGCCATTTTCCTAAAAAATAATACTCCCCGGCCGGGCCCGGAGCAGCCGGGTTGGGTGCGGCCAGGCCTGGAGCAGCAGCTGCCAGGCTGGGAGTGGCCAGGCCCGGAGAAGCCAGGTCGGGAGCGGCAGTGGCCAGACCCAGAGCAGCTGGTTGTGGAACGGACCAGAGCAACAGAGGCCAGGCCCGGAGCAGCCAGGCCCGGAACAGCTCGCTCCTCGCCTGCCTCTGCCCCAAGGCTGCCTCTCAGACATAGCTGGAAACTTTTGGGGGAACTTGAGGGTCTGTTGAATCAAATGAGGAAGGCTTAGATCTGGATGTGTTAAATCAGTATAGCGCTGGGGTGTTGATCTGTGAGTGCCTTGTGTGGGGCCTGGATGAGGTTGGTTGATCTATTTGGAAATGTCTTTTGTGTGAAGTGTATCCTTGGGCATGTGGAGGTATTATTGACTTGAGAAATGCTAAGTAACTGATTTACTATCTGAAAAATTTAAAGTTCTGAAAGTTTAAGGTCTCTTGCCAAAAAGAGGTTTTAAAGCTAACACCTTAATTTTAAAGGGAATGACAAGCCCTTCCCACCCAGAACAGGTAATCCAATTCCAACCAGCAGCTATGTTTAAACAATGTGTCCAATTATGGGAGGGGAGTGGACTGACTGTTCTCGGGGAAAGGGAAGGAGGAAGAGACTGAACATAAACTGTGCACCTATGGATGAGGAAAATGGGGGGTGGGGAGGGGGCGAAGGGTGGGGTGGGAACCTGGTGGCAGGGGGAAGAAATGAGGAACCTTTGTAATAATATGAACAATAAAGATTTAAAAAAATAATAATAATATTCCCCCCAAAATAAATAAAAATAAAACCCAATCAAATATAGATGATTTCCAATTACTATTGAAGATTTTAAAAATTTAAAGACTAAGGTATATCAACTTTAATTGAAAAATAAAAATGATTTAAAGAATATTTTTAAAAACTCATAAAACACTAATAAAAAAGATTTAAAATGATACTGGTGAAGAATACTGGTGAAAAAATAAAGGACTAGAGGAAAATTACCCATTAATTACTTTCTGCCTCTCTTGACAACAGCTCAACTTTACATCACTAACTAGAGGTCTGGTTTCATGCACTGGTGGGGTCCTTCAGCCTGGCCTGCGGGGATCGAGCCGAAACCAGCTCTCCGAAATCCCCCAAGGGGTCCTGGATTGAGAGAAGGCAGTTCTCGGGTGATGCACCCTGGAATCGGGCTCCCTCCTCTCTGCACCCAAGAACCACCGCTGCAAAGTCACCACAGCTTGGCAGCTCCTACATTGAGCATCTGCCCCTTGGGGGTCAGTGTGCATCACTGCTACTAGTCAGACAGACTCTTAGCCTTTAAATGTATAGATAACAAACATCTACTTTTAATAAGTAAATCAATAAAGATGTGTTAGGAATATTTACCTCTGGTAAGAAGCTGACTTTTTATCTTTATTCAGTATACTTTTAAATAATTATACCTTTCCAATCTTACTTACCTCATGGTATATTGAAGGCTTAGATAAAGAAGGGATAGTAAAAGACAGAACTTTATTGTTTCCATCTTTATCAGCAATTTCCTAGTTAAAAAACAAACAAACAAAAATAATGAAATAATCCAAGGACTACTAGAAATAATAATTACTTTCTTAATTTACCAAACATATCATTGGTAACTGAGGAAGATGTTTAGAAATAGTAATATAAATTAAAAAATTGCTCGGCTGGCATGGCTTAGTGGTTGCGTGGCCATCTATGAACCAAGAGGTCATGGTTTGATTCCTGGTCAGGGCACATGCCCAGGTTGTGGGCTCGATCCCAGTAGGGGGTGTGCAGGAAGCAGCCATTATTGATTCTCTCTCATCACTGATGTTTCTCTCTCTTTCCCTCTCTCTTCCTCTTTGAAATCAATAAAAATAAAAACAAAAATAATAAAAAATGAAATAAATTACTACCCTAATTTATTTTTCCTAAATTAGCAAATTTGTACACTTTGTTGGTTGAATTATCCTTTGAAAGATTTTAGTGCAATACTAAGTAAATCAAATACAACATGACAGCAAAGACATGAAGGAAGCAGGCACACAAATCAATTTTCATGTTCAATTTACACACAGGGCAGAGAGATTACAAGTGATTAGATCTTTAAGTAGAAACATTAAATCTTTGAGTCAAACAAATTAAACTTAAGGCTTTAGGCAAGAGCTCCGTACTTATTAAAATAAGAAAAATACACTACTTTAATATAGAATGAATCTTGATTAAAAGAAACTCATACAATTCTTCAGCAATAAGCTAATGACTTCAAATAAGCTACATATTAACATAATTATTAGTCCAAGTAATTAAAAATAAGTTCATATTTAGATCATTTTTACAGAACTGCAAGACAATTCTTGTGAATTTTTAAAGCATTTTATCTTTTAATGAAAAGGACAAGGTATCCATCATTTTTACATCCAATGTTCTTCAGGTATCAATCAAAATCTGCCTACAGAAGCCAGGGGTGAAATGCCCCTCCTGCATCACTCCCTTTCTCTACCGCCTCATCTGTCTGTTTCTTTTACACTTCACATTAGTGTACATAACAGGCATAATCATAGAGAAGATTGACCTTATTAGACCTGGGAAGGTGGTCAAATATGTTCTCCCATACAGTGGGTTCCCTTTTCATTTTGATGATGAGTTCTTTTGCTGTACAGAAGCTTTTTATTTGATGTAGTCCTATTTGCTTATTTTCTTAGTTTCCTTTGTCCTAGGAGATGTATTGGCAAAAATTCCAATACTGCCTATTTTCTCCTAAGATTTTTATGGTTTTGTGCCTTACATTTAAGTCTTTTATCCATTTTGAGTTTATTCTTGTGTATGGTCTAAGTTGGTGGTCTAGTTTTATCTTTTTGCATGTCTCTCCAGTTCTACCAACACCACTTCTTGAAGACTGTCTTTACTCCTTTGTATGATCTTGCCTCCTTGGTCAAATATTGACCATAATGGTATGGGTCAATTTCTGGGGTCTCTGTTACAATCCATTGGTCTATATATGCCTATTCTTCTGCTAATACCAGGTTGATTTGCTGATAATGACTTTGTAACATAGTTTGATATCCAACTTTGTTCTTCTTTCTCAAGATTATGCAGCTATTTGGGTTCTTTTATGGTTCCATATAAATTTTTGGAGTATTTTTTTTTTCTAGTTATGTGAAGTATGCCATTGGTATTTAATAGGGATTGTGATGAATTTATAGATTAATTTGGGTAGTATAGACATTTTAATAATATTAATTCTTCCAATCCATGAACATGGTATACATTTCCATTAGTTTGTATCTTCCTCTATTTCTTTTTCAATGTCCTATAGTTTTCCTAATCCAGGTCTTTTAGCTCCTTGGTTAAGTTTATTCCTAGGTATCTTTTTGTTGTTATTGTTGCAATGGTAAATGGGATTTTTTTTTTTTAAGTTTCTCTTGTGCTCAATTTAATAAACTCAAATTTTTCAATAGACATTTCAATTTTTCTAAATATTCTTTAAGTATAATTTCAGAGGACTTTAAAAAATACTTAAAATTTCCCAAACTATCAATTTCAACTTACCAAATTATAAATTCCTAACAGAAGTGCTTCAATGCAACCATTACTCTGTCTGTCTCGGCTAACTGTAAGCCGTAAATAAACCCATATCAATTCTGGCAAGAACTGCAGCGTGAACCTCTTAAGTCGAACTTCAGAGCTACGATAGAGCTCAAACAGCTGGTGGCAGACAGGTTCCAGGAGCTAAAAGTAAAACAAAGTGCATTATTTATTTCCATTATTTTGGATATAACTGGATTTTTAAAGGCACATATACTTATATTTCTAAACTAAATTCTCAACATAATTCTTGCATATTTTGAATCAGTGCAACCAAATTTTATTAATCTCTATGTAGTGAGATTACATATTAAACTGACCAATATACTAACTATAAGAAGTACTTTGTGGCCATATAATGTCAACATAACTTTTAATACACTATACTACTTAATTTAGTTCTTTAATGTATCAACTTATATTTAATAAGTTTCCTTTTCTGTTCTTAACAACCCTTAGTATCCTCCATTTTTAAAAAGTTTCTATTTAAAGAAAATAATATCAAATGATCTTGTTGAAAGTTAAATATCAATTTAAGATTATGATTTAAATAAATTATATACCACTCAGTAGAGAAAGGGATTTTTCAATATGTAATATTTGGACATCCAAAATGCTAATATTTTAAATTAATGCTAGCTAACAAGAGACTGATAAATTCTACTAATTATATTTATTTGAAATATTTTGAAAAGGAGCAAATTCTTCAGATATAGGTTTTCCAATGTTTAATTGGCTAATTCTTCATAAGATATTACACAATATGACTTACAAGGAACTTCATGACCATGAAAACTGAAGAAAATGATTGGTTTAAATAAATCTTCCCCTTTTCCCTAAGCATATACTGCTGAGTTAGAATTTTTCTTTGGAATATTTGGAGACTAAACAAAACTATGATTTTAAAATGCAGACAAACACTGACAGGAAACTATAATATTTAAAATGTAACACTAGTTTAATAAAACATTCTAGAATAAAGCCATTTTTTTCACAATGTAAACTAAAAGTCAACTTATCCTATTGTACACATAACGTATTTAGATATGTTAAACTTAGCTCTTAAGGAACAACTAAAGCTAAAAAAAAATTATACAAACACATTTTAGTTTAGTAACTACTAACGCCTTATGTGAAATCACTATCATTTTATTCAAAATCTTAAAAAACATTTTATCTTTCTCCTTATACTGAAGTCTAGATCAAACAATTTGCCAAGGACACAGAGTTTAGTGGTGTAGGAAGATAACTAGAATTCAGGTCTTCCGACACCAGGTTGATGTTCCCACTATACCACATTTCTTATATTACAGCAAAGATGGAGTAGGAGGTGAGAGTTCTTTTATTACAATATTCCACATAGTGCCAATAAGAAACATACTTTTGAAAATAGACAATTGCTGGCATCTTTTTAAATGCTGACAATAATATTCAGGTCTTTCAGGAAATTAAAGATTATTGCTCTTATAAATTTATTTCACACACACACACACACACACACACACACACACACACACACGGTTTTTATTTTATAAGTTTATTTGAACCAAACTGATGACATATGCTGGGGAGCAAGATCTTAAATACTCCCCCCCCCAAAAAAAAAAATATATATATATATATTTTTTTTTTAAATCTACTTTCCTCTTTAGTAAAAGATCCTAAAATTACTTTTTCTAATTTTTTTTTTTACCTTCTCTAAATGTTAATGTCCATGGAACAATATTATTTGTTTATTGTAGAAAGATCTTAACTTCCTTTCTCAGTAGCAAAAACTACATGTAGGAGACTATATTTTAATTAAGCACTCAAAGAAATACAGACTGAGGAAAATTATTATTCTGCCTTTTTTTTTAAAGTCAGAGGAAGAATGGCTGGAAATTCAGGAACTTTTCATCAGATACCACTGCAAAATAAGACTGTTAAAAACTTGCCAGACCTGGAAGACCTGGAATTAAAGATCTGTTAAAAATCTTTAATTCCAAGCATAAGTATTTGGCCACTGTGTTCTTAGTTTCTCAGTATTATACACGACTCTGACTTCCCCTAAATGAAACTATCACCCACAGCAAAAGGTGTTAAAGGTCATTTTCCTCTGGTTAAAAAAAAATAAAGCTTAAGAATAACTGACACATTCCCCAAATTTAGCAAACAGTTTGATAAAATAATTACTAAGAGACATGCTCTCTAATGAACACACTGAGACAATCTGGCTGAAATATTGGACACTGAAGCCCAATTTAGGTTAAAGAGAATGTGAGATGAGGAAAAGAGGTCAAACAGAAAGAAGTTATAGATAAGCAATACTTTATATGGTTCATCTGTGAAAAGAGACAACGAAATGGGATAGATAATAAAACAGCAAATCAAATAAGACTTTTAAAAAATAGAATATGGTTCTTTGCCATACTGCACTCATCAGGAAAGGGGGGGGGAATCAATCATGGAGGAAAGAGAGGAGATAATTAAAGGAACAATCTTTGAGACGACTAGGGAAGATGGGATCCAGGCTTAAGTGAAGAGATGGCCTTTGATACACTAGGATACTTTATCTACTCTAAATCAGAAAAGGCAGGAGAGGATGGGTAGAGATGTTGGTATATTTGAATGGGAAAATAAGAGAGCTCCCAACTACTTTCTTATTCTTTTTTAATGAGCTAAAAATAAGGAGAAGAATATGAGAAAAGAAGCTGTAAAATGAATTTAAACAGTGTACCAAAGAAGTAAGACTGTAAGAGATTTTTAGTTTTGCATTTAAAGTGCAGAAAGTTGGAGGTCTCCTTGAAGTGGAAGAACCGCTAGAGTGACTAAGGTATCTGGAAGGAGGGAAATGAGAAAAGTAAAGCAATATGTTGGTGCAGAGACTAATGTTCTATATATTAATGATTCTACAGAGCTTAATGTTCTGTTTTTCTTAAGTATGAACACAGTTAGAATCTATGACCTGACAGGAGAAAAGAATGGATAGACGTGCTCCATCAACTGGTTGATTATGCTGACTGCTGGGCCTTGACCTTGAATCTCTATAAAGGTATAAATTTTAAATTTCTAGCCATGACAAAGTTTGACACATTGTGTGAAGTATTACAATATAAAACAATATAAATAACTTTTTAAAATGTCACAGTTTCCACATATAACTGAATCAAGGAAACTGATACTTTTTTCTTTTTAATCCTTACCCGAGGATATGATTTTATCGATTTTGTTTTAGAGAGAGAGAAGAAGAAGGAGTTGGGAGAGGGGTGTTGGGGGGGGGGGGGGGGAAGAGAGAGAGAGAGAGAGAGAGAGAGAGAGAGAGAGAGAGAGAGAGAGAAACACTGACCGATTACCTCCCATCTGAGCCCCTACCAGGAACCAAGCCTGCCACCTATTTGTTATAGGGGACAGTGCTCTAACCAGGGAATGTGAGTCCCAATAAAAATGACAGCATTTTAGAATCTCATTTTGTATTTCACTATTCTTCCAATAAATATTTATTAAGTGTTCATTATTTAGATGACAGAATATTAGATTCTATGAAGTAACAAATATAGAATATATGACTACTGCCCATGAAGAGCTTACAATCTAAAGAGAAAGCATAAAACAAATTTTAATAAGCAAAGCTTAAATGTTAAGATAGTGCAAAACAGAGGGTGGGGAATACACACATTCAGTATCCAAACAAAATTTTGAAAATGCCTGACCAAGAATATGCATATATGTACATTACCACATCTGAAGTTATAAAACATTCATAAATACACAGCAAGAGAAAAAGAAGCAAATGAATCCTGTAATTGCTGCTACACAAGGTAACAGATGCAAGTCTGAGAGCCAATCCAAGTTTAGGAGATAGGAAAGAAAGAGGTCAATAAGCAAGCTTTAGTGACTGGACAAAAATGAAGATGCACTTTAAGTTAAGCTGCTGGTTAGGAGATGATTACCTGAACTTCTTCAAACTCACTCCAGTACACAGCAGAGGCTCGCGTGGAGGCTGTATCTGGGAAGATAAGAAGCTACTTTCCTGTGTGTTCCTTTCATTTTCACTTTAAAGCATATATGAGTCCAGTGGTGATAAAAATGCCATAACTATTGTGTTAATGAAAAGATAATGTGTGTATTTTGCATAAATTAACAAATAGATTTAAAAACTGGACTTTTTTCCCTTTATGACAAACTGAATAAAAGAAAACTATAATATTAAGTTTATTAATCTTGACTAGGCTAACATATGCTTTCTCTGATAATTTTGAAGCTAAATTACTAGCACTATCATTTTATGTTACCAGTCTAAGTTTATTGATTAGGGTGATTATACATAGTTCTATATTGTCAATAAAATAACTGCAAAGAATACTTAAAATAAAATAAATAAATCTCAATCAGTGTATGGTTAAAATTTGGCTCCCAGAAAAGGAAATATTCCAGAAAAGGAAACAAAGGAGAGTTTCGAATTAAACAAATAATCTACTAAAATAATGATCACTCAGATGAAGAATTAAAATATACTGTCCTCAGCAGGAACCAATTTGATCAAAACATTTAAAAATATGGAGAGAGAGCATGAGGAAAGCCAAAGCAACTATCAGAATGAAAAATAGCAGAAAACATTTTCCAGTCCCTTAAGAAGAATTAAAAAAAAAAAAAAAAAAAAAAGAGTAGGAAAAACTATAAAACTTAAATATATGTGCTATAGTACACATATTTCATTTTATTATGTTGAAATTATTTTTCTTATAAACTCTCCTACCTCATTATTTGAATCTTGAATAACTTTGTAGAGGGCTGGTACCAATGTTTTTTTCCGGTGTAAAGTTGCTGCATAATTAGTGATCTGAGTGTCAGGTAATGCCTAAAAAAAAAAAATTTAAAAGAAAACAAAAGTGAACTTAATATTTGGGAAGTCAGAAACTTTATTTTAAAGAGTTTCTCTTGAAAATATTTATAGGAATCAATTACAAAAAAAATTGAGCCCTGGCCAGTTTGGCTCAATGGATAGAGCGTCTGGGGACTGAAGGGTCCTGGGTTCAATTTTGGTCAAGGACACATCCCAGGTTGTGGGCTCAATCCTCAGTGGGGGGCCTGCAGGAGGCAACCGTTCCATGATTTTCTCTATGTTATTCTCTCTCTCCCTTTCTCTCTGAAATCAATAAAAAAATATATTTTTAAAATTAATATAAGAAATAATCATGAATGTTAATAAAACAAATAGTTATAGTATACAGGTTGAGGCAAAAGGTTTACAATTGTGAGTACTCGAAACACAGTTTATTCTTGTATTATTATTAATTATTATATTATTTATTTTCATTACAACTGTAAAACTACTTTTGCCCCACCCTGTATAATCCTAACCATTAAACCATAAAAATGATTAGAAACACATATTATAATCAAGATTTGCTGAAATGGGTCATCTTAAACTAATATAGTCTAAAAAAGTAGGTAAGGATATATTTTAATATGTTCTTATTGATTGTTTAGAGCGAAAGGGAGGGAAGTAGAGAAATAGAAACATCTTTTTGGCTTCCTCCTGAATGCCCCTTATCCTGGAGATCAAGCTTGCAACCTAGACATGTGCCATGACGGGGAATCGAACCAGTGATCTCTTGGTTCCTGAGCCACACCGGCCAGGCAGTTTAGATATATTTTAATTCTTGCATTTTATGTTTATAAAACACTTTTTTCCCATAATGTTAGTAATTATAGTTTTCACTCAAATCAATGAATGATTTTAAGTTACAGAAAATAAAATAAGGCAAAAATCCTATTTCTATGCCTTATTAAAAACTGAAGGTTTCCCTTCTTTGAATTGAATATTTTAAAATTTATATATCTCCTCATCAATCCTAACAAACTATTTTCATTTATATATATATCTTCTAGCCATTATTCACATCAGTGCCTTTTTAGAGAGTTGCAATTACAGAAATGTTATTTCAAATTTTGCCATTTCCACTTCATATCATATTTCGATTTCTCCCAAGAACACATATTTACTGTTTAAATTACTGACATATAGAATCATATGACACATTCTTATCCCTAATCCAATTTACCTTGAATTCTGATAACCATTCTTCCACAACACCACGTTCAGATCCCAGCATCTTCTTCTACCTTGTTACTCTTATCTCTGAAAGAAAAGAAAAAAAAAGCACTGAATTGAGGATAGCATTACTACTTACGGACACTACCAAAAGTAAATAATGAGTGCCTTTCACTATAGGAGAAATTCATCTAGTATATATTTTAGATAAGAAGGCTTAGTTTTAGAACAGAACTTAATTAAACTAAAATTTTTTAAAGAAAGAAGTTTTGTTTCTTTTAAATATATTTTTATTGCTTTCAGAAAGGATGGGAAAGGAAGAGATAGAAACATCAATGAGATAGAGAATTATTGATCGGGTGCCTCCTGGACACCACCTACTGGGGATCGAGCCTGAATCCCAGGAATTGAACTGTGACCACCTGGTTCATAAGTCAATGCTCAACCATTGAGCTACATCAGCCAGGCTACATCAGTGAGCAAGACTAACTATGATAACTGCTCTTAAGGTCTTCTGGTGGACCAAATTTATTAAACAAAGCTACACAAATATTAAGACAACATATGAGATAGTAAAAAATGAGTTTTGCTACAGCAAATTTTCAAGCTATTTAGATTAAGTGTGAAACTTAAGCACTTAAAATGTGCTGTTATTGTAAATACCAAGTTCCCTAAGGAAAAACCTAGAGCTATACTATCCAATACAGTAGCTATAAGTGGCTAATAATAACATAAAATAAAATTTAAAGATTCAATTCCTTAGTTGCACTAGCTATATTCAAGTACTTAGTAACTAAGTGTGGCTTGTGTCTCTCATATTGGACAGCAAACATATAGAACACAGACATTATCATAGAAATTTTTTTGGACAACACTGATCTAAATGTAGTTAAATAATATAGTTATGCTAAGAAAATTTGATAAGTCAGTAACTGTAAAGGTTAGACAACAAAAAAGTTAACAGACATAACTATTAAACAGAAAACACTTTTAAAAGTAGATTTCAAAGACATTAAGATGTGATTCTTTCAAATCTCCTCGGTAGAATTGCCTAATAAATAAAAGCTATCCCCCAAAGATTATCAAAAAGTTTAATACAGTGGTCAGCAAACTCATTAGTCAAGCTGCGGTTTGCTCCTCCATTGATTAATGAGTTTGCCGACCACTGGCCTAATATATATAAGTGTATGGGAAATTCACTCTTTATCCTTTAAAAAGTTAAATTCCATAATTTTTACCTCTGTTCTAAGATCAGTTTTCTAAAGGAGGTGGTGGCACAGGAATGCGGCAAAGTTCAAGTGTGGAATTCATTTGTTGAGACTTATTTTCCAACTCTATAAAAAATGAAAATAGAAAACTGTAAAATATTGAGACATATTCTCAAGAATGTAATACAAAGAAGTAAGAACAATTTTGGTAAGACAGGTTTAATATAGTTTATCTAATTTAAGAAATAATTAGTAACTCAAAAATTTCTATAATAACTAACCTATACTTGTGTACCATTACCAAACCTAATTTTTTTAAAAAATTAGAAAGGAAGTCCTAGTTTTAGTTGCAAATATTCATTAATTATCGGCAAGACCTTGGGTAAGTTATTTAAATTTTCTGGAGCTGGAGCCTCATTTGAATAATTTATAAAATTAAGATTTTTAAACAATAATTCTACTAATCCAATAGTACTGTGCAAACAATCATTAAAATTTTATTATGAAGTATAAAACCAAGCTTAAATAATAAGCATCAATGACTATAAAATCATTTTGGATGAGTTTTACAGAACTGAAAATTTTATCATTTTAAAAAAAGAACATAAAAAATGCTATTACTTAAATTTTTGTCACAAAAATATGTTAAAGGTTTTTGATCAGAGAAAATAATTTTCAAATTGCTAAAGTTATACTTTTCTCACAAATTGATAAATCTTTTCATATAGTTGCTTATCACATTATGTTCTATCTCTTTGATTCAAAACTGTATTACCATTTTAAATCTAAAACATGAAAAGAAAATTAGCACTTTAAAATATGTTAACAGTTATTTTAAATACAAAAAACACATCAATAAATATCTCTTGAAATTTAATTACATATCATTATAATTCAATGTTTTCAAACTACAGATGTGTCACAAGACCTCTCTACTCCAACCACAACAGCTGACTTCATCTCTTCCATGAGATTTTTACTTCATGAGATGTTCAGCAGTGAGGGACAGTCTTGGAAAGGACTAAGAATATCTCCGGAAAGGTATACAAGAAACTCTTAACTAGTGCCCCTTTGGGAAGGGGCACTTCATGTCTTTTAGTATCTTGGGAATTATGAGCCCAGGCCACTGCCAGACTTTGAAGCAATGCACAGATTGGGACCTCTGTAGAGATGGACTTCTGACAATCTTTCAGGGCTAAGGATACAGATAGCATCTAGGCTCTCAATTTAAAAAGACAAAGCAAGAAAAATCCAACATGGCAAATGATAGGAAAACTGAGTTTTATTAAACTTTAACACAGCTGCCCTAAATCTAACCGGTTTGGCTCAGTGGTTAGAGCGCCAGCCTTCGAACTCAAGGATCCCAGGTTCAATTCCAGTCAAGGGCATGTACCTGGGTTGTGGGCACATCCCTAGCAGGGGGTGTGCAGGAGGCAGCTGATTGATATTTCTATCTCGTGAATGTTTCTAATTCTCTTTCCCTCTCCTTTCCTTTCTGAAAAAAATCAATAAAATATATTTTTAAAAAACAACAAACTTTACCACAGCTTTAAAACAGTTCAATCCCTGATTAATTGGAGGTAATTAGCCCCTTCGCCCATTTAAGCCACAGAAAGAAATGGGAACCCTATTTGGAAGGTAACGTTGTCTCTGAATCTTTCATACAAAACGTCTGGCACACAATAATAAAATGACTAAATATCCAGAGAGACAAAAATATAACCAAAAATTAAAAGAAAATAAGACAAAAACAGCATACACATTCCTCTGAAGTGCACCTAGGCTATTTTCCAAGATAGACAATACGTAGGCTACAAATCAACACTCAATAGATTTAAGAAGATAGGTATTATATAGAGTATCTTCCATGGCGACAATGGGATGAAGATAGAAATCAATGAAAAGTGGGAAAATTCGAAAGGTTGTGGAAATTAAGCAACACACAAGGGAAATTAGAAAATACTTAGAGCCAAACAATAAAAACATAATGTTCCAAACCTATGGGATGCTATGAGAGTGGTATTAAGGGGGAAATGTATAGCTATAAATGCTTACATTAAAAAACAAAAAAACTCAAATAAACAGCTTAACTTTACAACTTAAGGAACTAGAAAAAGAATAAGCTAAACCCAAGGCTAGCAGAAAGATGAAAATAATAAAGATTAGAACAGAGATAAATAAAATAGAGAATTGAAAATAGAAAAAAATTTAAAACCCAAAACAGGTTCTTTAAGAAAACACAAATTCCTAAAATCTGAAATGAAAGAGGGGACATTACTACTGGTTCTACATAAATAGAAAGGGTTATAAAGAGAGTATTGTGAACAACTGTACACCAACAAATTGGATAATCAAATTCCTAGAAACACAAAACTTACCAAGATTAAATCAGGAAAAAATAGAAAATCTGCACCCCAATAAAATCAATAAAATAAAAAGAGTAGCCTAGCTGGTTTGGCTCAGTGGTGGAGGACATGATTAGACTCTCAGTTAAGGCATATGCCTGGGTTTCAGGCTCAACCCCCCCCAATAAGGGGTATTCAGAAGACAGCCAATCGAAGATGTTTTCTCTCATCGACGTTTCTATCTCTCTATCCCTCTCCTTTCTTCTCTCTCTAAAAACTGTTAAAAACATATTTTTTTAAAAACCTCAATTTTTTTATTTTTAATCTATGGTTCATTAGGTTAGACGTGCTTTTCTTTAACTTTTTCTTTTAAATGTCTCAACAAGGAAATCTTATTAAAAGAGAACTTAGCCAGGTGGATGAACCCATGAAATGCTTGGTGCAGAGTGGACTGAAGGCAAAAGGAAGTCCCTTTTCCAGAGAAGAATCCAGAATGGGGGGACAACAGAAAGGGGGCTCAGGAAGCATGGGTGGGTTCATTTGGTGAATTTGATTCTAACATTTCTTTGAGTTCAGTGTTTTACAAATAGACCAAAATAACTCTTTTGTAACTGATGCTTTGCCATTCAATAAATTGGTGCCATTTATCATATTTTATGACTACTTTTCTGGTAGTTATATTTCAAATCTAGAAAGAACTATCCTATATAAAAGCCTAATATACAAATTATCCCCTAGACCGGGAGTTCAACCGCTTGCTATGAGGTGTGCTGACCACCTGGGGGTTGCGTGGGACATGGCAGGCATTGGTGACATGGTGCTGGCAGCAGTCAGCAGTGGAGGCGCTGCCAGCCCCAATGGGTCCTGATGAGCGGAACCGCGGTGGGTTGGTGGAGCAGGTGAGCGGGTGGCACCAGGCCAAGGTGGGTGTGAGCAGGGTCTGATGGCCCCACCGATTGTCCTGCAGACTGAGACCAGCAGAGGGGGAAGGGGGGCGGCGCCAGGGCCACCATCCAGCTCCCAGGCACTGAGGGAGTCAGGCGGGGGCTGATGACTCAAATGGAGGGGGATGGGTGGGGGTCTGGGAGCCCAGGTGCTGCCTAGGGCCCAGAGGTCAGCTGGGACCTGCCCTTCCACGCCAGATGTTTGCACTTCAATCGCTGGCCAGGCCTAGAGACCACACCCGTGCACAAATTTCATGGACCGGGCCTCTAGTAATTCTCTAAATAATCCAAGTCACATATCTTAATATATTACATAATTGAGTTTTTACTCCTTTCTCCAAAATTAAAGCTGACTCGTTTACTTTTTCTAGTACTTGTCTTGATAGCAAATAGATACCAAAACAGCAAGTCTAGAATTCATAAAGATAAACCAAGAATTTCTAAATAGGACCTGTGTCAAAATCAACAAATTCACAATTCCAAGTTTTACTATATATTATTGAGTGTTTACACAAAATCTAAATGTATATCATCTTTTTATCATAGCAATATTGTAAAAGACCT